AAAGGTAGAAATTATGAAATAAAAGCAAGACAAAATAAAATGTTAAAAAACTTAATGATGTACATACAAATTGAGATCTAAAGGTAAGATATGATTGTTAAAAAACTTAATGATGTACATACATAGATACAAAGATATGAGCAAAGATGAAATACTGGCAAATGCACAGCCGAATGACGCTTATTTTTCACTGAGAGTGCATGGACTAAAAGACCAAAGCAATTATTTGGGCAGTCACATGGTCAACATTTCAGAGGAAATATTTCATACACAGCCTTCTTGAGAGTCTTAGATTCTGACTTGAAAAGTATGGATACATGCTGTCATCTCTAGCAATTGATGTTGCTGAATTTTAAATAAGATTCCAGATAATTTAAACAAATTATACTACAAAAGTGTGGTATCCCAGAGACTGCATATCATTGTAGTGAGTATATTATGTGGTATACAGAGTGAATGCTGTTAATATGTTTAAGCACATTTATATAACAGAATCTATATAAAATGAGTCTGAGTTTCTCCAGACTGATGCTGGGATAAATCTTGAAATAAGCCATGATCATTTCCTTCCAAAATCTTACCTTACTCATCATCTTCCTATTTCACTCAATGTCTCTTAACCTCTGCAGTTGAAAAAACCTCAATTAAATACTCTGAGAATCAATAAATCAGGATTGGAGGCCATCTGGGTTCAATTCCAGGCACTATCACAGTATTCACCTGAAGGGATTGAAAACCTCAATCAGGGTAAGTAGTTGTGCTGAGATTTGAACCTGATACCTCTTAACTTCTGTTCCACAATGTATGTTTGCAGTATGTGCCTTCATGTTTCACTCATCTTCTATTACTTTTAGAGTCTGCAGTTCATTAAATAAAACGTTTCTTCATAAACATGATTATTAGCACTTCCAGAATTATTTTATTTTCTTAATAACAACACACACAATTAATTTAAAATACACTATTTCTATGATGAAGGAGCCTGTACAGTGTACTTACAAACTATCTGGTAACTAAGACACAGTAAACAATAATGTGGAGTAAAGTATGAAATGAATGTATACAAGTATACAGTACCTTACTTTTAAATACAGCAATATTAAAAATAAACATCTTAAAACTGGAATGATATACAAACACCTTGAAAATTCTGTACAGAGTGATAATAACTTGTAGAATGGGCAGCTTCTGGCTAAAACCACTGAAAAAGATAACTTAAAGTTTAATAAGCAAATTATTTATGGCTGCATTTGAAGAAAGCAAATTAATTAATGAATTATGTTTCTTCTCTGACACTAACATTTGGTATCTGAGATTTTAATATATTCTAATAGAATATTGCATGACCAAGAATGAGCAGAGTTTGTCACGTAGCTACTAGATTTAAATTTTATTTATGGAGCCCTGTAATAAGGTATTTAGAAATGTCTTAAAGGAGATGACAGTACAAGAAGGAAAATTTTAATATATATATATATATATAATTGGAATTTGAAGACAATACATAAATGCATATATATATATTAGATTCTGCAGTGACTAGTTCCATACATAATTATTTATTTACTATTTGACTTAAATACTGATGTGATAGGGTTCTAGAGCAGGGAATTTCTATACACTAACTCATAAAAATTTGTGGATGAGGGGCAAAGTCTGATACTTCAGTATGTATTGTTTTATAATGAGAGATCATTTTAATCACTTGACAAAAAAAGAAGTTTGTCCCCTGTGAGAATGAAGTATTCAAATACTGTGCAGGAATGTAACAAATCTGAACTTACTGCTGACAGTTAACCGAGTACTTATTATACCTGCAATTTCTGATCATCTTAGAAAATTCAGAGAAGATGGAGGCAGCAAATTTGTTATAAACTGATAACCACCTAAAAGGTGAGATGGTGTCACAAACTAGAAGACCACAATCTGAACTCTCATGACTTTACAAATCTCAATTTTTAAAATATGTTCACACAACAGTGTCATTTCGTGAATTATGTTTATATCCTTTATTATTATGTAAAGTGCAAAGTCTGTTCGCACTTTTTCCAAAGATAACAATTTGACCCCTTTGAGATTATACACTCTTCTTCTTAGGTAATACTACTTACAAATTGCTTATTTAGCTCAAACAGCTCTCAACATAAAGACATATTTGGAATAAATGTGCTATGCACAAGCCAGTGTCATCTGTGAGGTACAGTATGACTCAAAACTTTTGATGCAACATTTACAGCAGTAGACTGATGTGTCATATACTTGTCAATATGTAAGTAATTATATTTGTGACATTCCATAAGATGCAGTTTTTTATACATATATTGTTAATTTAGCTCAAACAGCTCTCAACATAAAGACATATTTGGAATAAATGTGCTATGCACAAGCCAGTGTCATCTGTGAGGTACAGTATGACTCAAAACTTTTGATGCAACATTTACATACTTGTCAATATGTAAGTAATTATATTTGTGACATTCCATAAGATGCAGTTTTTTATACATATATTGTTAAATCCTGAACTACAACCTGGAAGATTAAACTGGTTCAGAATAATTGAATATGATCATGGACTTTCAGGTTTCTTAAAAACAGGGAATTTCTTTAACAGTTCAATTAACTCTCCACTTTTCAAAAGAAACACCCTGTGCCATAGGATTAGCTACGTATCAGCACACGGATATTTATCTCAAGTTATTTTATAATTACGAAATCCCCATTGTGAAGTTATTTGCACTCTGTCATTATGTGTACACTCATTAAGCTAAACACATATGACATCTTCATCCTCGTCCTGCAATGACACATCACTTCTCTTCTATAAATTATTGCAGTTAATACGTTGCTGTTTTCATTAATGCTGCTGCTTGAACTTCCTTTGATGTAATTGTGAACGCTTCTAGCATTATGGCCCGTGTACGATTCATGAGGTCCTCCACATCATTTTTGCATAGTCCTTCTGTTTTGATGGGAGGGAGTGTAGTGATTATTATGTTACCTGTCCAAAACAAGAGAGAAAAACAGATGTCTCTGATCCACACACTACTCCAGTCAGTGGGAGATCAAGGCATTACCAAGTGGGTATGCAGACTGAAGGGTAATGAACACAATGTGAAATTCTGACAAAAATTTTATATCCTCAACTTCCTTCAAACTGAACATTGTGGTTGAGTGGCATGCCAACATTATATTCAGGAAGTTCACAGTTCAAATCATGGCTTGGAAAACAGCTATCCTGATTGTTCCTGAAGTTCCACCATGGAAATAAATTATATAAACTACACAGTTGAAAAAAGTGTTATTAAACAGCCCAAGAATAAATCTACCAATCAATCAGCTTCCAAGAATTTATACATTTAAATTTATAATGAACCAATGTGAGCAACTGGCTATGGGCTGGATGACCTCGGTCCAACTTCCAGCAAGCACAGGAGTTTTCCTCCGCCTCTGCACTGGCTCTGGGGTCCATCAAGTCTCATGTTCATTGGGTATTGGGGCTTCTTTATTTCTTTGGGAAGGTGGTCACAGCATGTAGCTGACCACTCACTTTCATTTACTGCTAAAGTTAAAAATATACAGAGATTTACCTTCACTTGTCCTACATACCTTCATGACACTGTACAACACTCATGTGCAGAGACAACTTTATCTCACTGTTTTATGTTTGTAGCTAGTATAGGATTCGAAAAACAGAGAATGGGAAATAAAATCTCAAAAGTTCATGTCACTGCCACGTTTGTATCCTTCAATACATAAAAGGAAAAGTCACATAACAAAAGACATACTGGGAATCTTTCATTATACCAAGTTTCACATGCTCTGATATGCTGTGAAAAAAAGTGTTTATTTGTAAACGTTTCATACGTAGTACTTCAAAGATTAAAACATTTCAGTAATCTACATTGGCTGCTGTGGATAGGTAATTAAAAACTATGAATATATGCTGCTGTCTAATGTCCTGAAGTTCATACTGATTTCAGTTTCAGTCAACTGATTAAAAAATTACTGTGGATAGGAATCATGGCCAAGTGTTCTCAAGACTGACACACACATATAGGTTTTTGTAGAGTTAAATTTGGATGGTATATGGTTCAAATGCTGGTACTGGCTATACTGACTGAATACTGATTTTCCTCAGTATTTCCAGGAAAATACAAGAATAACACATTCAAATAAGCAATATTAGCTTCTCTGAAAAAATTTCATACTCACCATTTATGAACATCTTCTTATCCCATTTGACAATATAATTTCTGCTACTGAAACAGCATTGTTAATTAACCTAATACACAGGTATTATATGACTTTCTACATGCTTCCCAAATTTCAAGTGATAACTGCTATTTTATATTTTTTAATATCCTACCATCATGACAGATCAAAGATTACATGATGTTTAACCTTCAGAAATAGTTCTGGAAACATATTTCTCCAAAAGAGTTCTATAACCAGGTCACATTTTTATTTTACCACAGAATATTCTCCTAGGGAGTGAAGCTGATACTCAGTCTCCAACTGCATAAAGCCACATCTCTATACAAGAATACAAAGGTACAGGTTTCCACCTGCACCTTTATTTTTCCACATTCAGCACTTCTTCGTCTATGGCTCCCCGGTCCGTATTCGGTCCATGGACTCCTCAATTCTCCACTTCCATTCTGTCCTCTGTTAGGTCCACCTGTCCGAGGCTTTGATTGAGGTTTCAAAACATCTTCCTTTTTATGGTGCAAGGTTGTTAGCCTTGCGACCAACCCCCAACCTGGAGGACCAGGGTACCTATCTTAGTCTGACCTATCCCCCTCGACCAATCAGGCGCGGGAGGCCCTACCAGCAGCTATGTTACCGCCAGCATAGCTCTTGGGGTCACTGAGGTACTCAAGTACTTACATACCACAATGTTTGTGCAGGTAATGTTGGAATGATAACTGTCTTAATTCAGCTCATGCAGTGTTAAGCAGCAGATGATCAAGAATGGGGTAAAAGAGAGACCCAACCAAGGTACACATAATGCAAGACATTGAAAATGATCAGGAAATATTCTTATGCATGTAAAAATTATGAGTTATAATATATTACTTGGGATACTGGGAACGACCCGTTCTTCAAGTGTCTGAGCACTGCGGGTCCCAACTTTTCGTTGGCTCGATCTATAGACATTCGGTAGGACTCCTTGGACGAGGGATCGGCCCATCGCAAGGTTTCTACCTGTACACAGGACAGCACAACACAGAAAGACGTGGACAAACATTCAGGTTTGAGTGGGATTCGAACCCACGGTCCCAGCAACCAAGCGGCACAAGGCCCACGCCTCAGACCACGCGGCCACTGCAGACCCCTATATAATATATTAGTTTTCAAAAATTTAATTACATATTTCTGGGAATGTTCACTGTATACAAGTATTAACATATTACAATTTTTACTTTCCCTCATCATAGAGCATACAATATACTACTCTATAATTTGCACATACAGCCCTTGAACTATATTTCCAAAAGATTGTTGTCATACTGTGTTCTTTGCAGGGACAGAAAGAAGAAATTGTCCTGATACTGAATGCTGAGGCTGCTCAAGATTATGTGGAAAAGGATGTGGCATGAATTCTTTGTATTTGTCCCCGAGTGTTAAAATGGCTATAGTACTTCTTTCACTGTGTCAAATTACATGCAGTTTTTGAAGAACTACTGACCTGAATCAAACTGCTTGTTGTTATTATCCAGGAAGTAATATGATGAAAATATAACTGGCAGGACTGGGACCTGAGCTGCAATAGCAACATGGAAAGCCCCTTTCTTGAAAGGTAGAATATTTCCAGTATTGTTTCTTGTACCTTCTGGGAAAACCCACATCTTCATCTGCACATAAGTATAAGATAAATTACACAACATACACTGTGCGATGACCACACTGATGATGGAGGCATAAATGTTGGTAAACTTCTACCAGGCTTTTCAGCACAGCCCAGAAGATAGCCATCTTTATACTTTCTACTGCACGAACCTCAAATCCTATTTAGTAAACACCTATGGGGAAGCCACTGTTTGTGATTTACCTCAATCCTTCCAAGCAAATGCTAAAATAAAACTCTTTGAAACTAATACTTCCTGCTATCTACCTTTTCCTTTCTGTCTTACATATTTTATATCTGCTGTTTGACATGAGATACAAATGTATCTGGTTTCATATAGTATGCATAAGGAAAAGAGATCAAACCCTCTTGTAAATTTAACATTTTGGGATCTGAGGTTCCCATTGGGACAAAGATGTGGTTTGTGGTTTTCTGGGTTGTGACACCATGTAGCCTTGTAGGTGCTTACCAGTGTTCGTGAAGACTGGGGCAATACATTCCCCTGAAATGCTGTTAATCACATACAAGACTATATGGTGCCCAAACCCAGAAGACCTTATCAACAAATACAGCACTGTTTAAGATTATTCTCTGTAGAAACATAGAATTAAATTATATTGATTTATTGAAGAAGATAAATATGAAATTATTTCAATTTAGTAAAAGAAAAGACATGAGTACAAGGTTCAAGCACATTCTTTCACGAAAAACAAAACCTGGTTTTAAATTCCCACCAAATTTGAGAAATGTACTAAGGAGGTGTGAAAAAGAAGGGAGACATAAATTATCACATAGGAAGACCTGTAAAGAATGGCATGAAACTTGTATTTCCACAATTGTTGTTAGTAAATCTGATGTCCCAAAACTGAAATGAAAATCCATATTATTATTAGGAAGTTAGTCAAGCAAGATTGTCATATATCATGCATATGGAAGTTCCATTAAAATAGAATGTATGAAGTTCCATTTAAAATAGAATGTGAATGTAAAAACCTTTTAATTCAATCTTTCTCTTAAATGCAACCTTTAATTTAAAACTTTCCACTTCCATCTATTAATTCTGACAATAATTTATTCAAAAATGGTAATTTATTGACTTTGTCCATTCCTATCATAGCACTATGAGACAGGTGTGCAGTAACTTTTATTAGAATTAAGAAATTACATTTATTCTTTGTCTGGTCAAAAACACACTCCACTAAAAATTGTATAAATAATACCATTTGTACAGAGACCAAATGAACTCTTGCTGGGTGGCTCTTCCCTCTCAGGGTTATAAACAAAATCTGTACCATGGAGTTGGTTACAATCTTTGTTAAATATTCTTAATGTTGTATTATGAACTGCTAATACAAACATGTGATTCGTACTGTCGTGGAAGAGCTATTAAACTGTCAACCTGAGAGCAGAATAAACTGCCTGTGAGAAAAATTAATTCTCTTTCAGTTTTGAGTTTCATGATATGTATGAATAACGCAGCATACCAGCCCAAAAAAAAAAATCTCCCACTGCCAGTCCAACAATGCAACCATGGATAAGCCCTCTTATACTTGCCATGAGAGCAAACCAACCACCAGAATGAAAGTTAAGGTCAAAATCCCAGATATCATATCACCCAAAGCACATAGCATAAACAGATGTTGCTGTAATAAAGAAACAAGCTAGTCTTTTGAAAAATTAATTTACCACATGACTCCAATCCATTCATCCAGTAACAGGCTTCTGGAAAATAAAATTAACATTAATACTACCACAATATACATATGTAGATTTCACTATTAGTCCCATTCTTAGCAATAAATTAACCTGAAGATGATTAGTATCATCATTATCAGCTTGCCATGTCTTATGCACCAGAGAGTTTGAAATGGGATTCTTGAATGTGGCATTCAAAGGACATGATTTTTTTTTCAGTTATATTTATAATTCTGTATGAAATCTATGATTTTCTGTGAGTAGTCAATTACTTCATCCCACCTAAAACAAATTTCATTTCTGGTGTTGTGATTCTGATTTCATCTCGTTTGCACGTAGTCTAAGCTTCACTGCAACAAGTCAAAATGGATTGTCCTAAATTCCTGTAAAGTCTAATTCTTGTATGTTCCTAAACCAAATTCAATTATGAACATTTGGTTTATTAATCCCATTGCTCTGGTAATTTTAAAAATTAAATAATGTTTTGTTTTTTACTATTTTCATATATTAACTGTGATATTTTAAACAGTTAACTAGTTCTGTAACTCTGTTATAGATACTTTTCTTGCAAATGGGATTTTTCCCTTTCCATTGCTTTAGTCTTTGCTGTAGAACTTTGCATGTTGAAGTTATAAGTTTTCCAGAAAACCTGGTCATGTGCAAGATGTGAGTATGAAGATTTCTGTCTTCTGGGTTGTTGCGCTGTGGAGTCTGGTCGATGTTTACCAACGTTTCAGAGGTCATACTGCCTCCGTCATCAGGGCGATGAATATGCCAATAGGGTGTGTGGGACTAGCATATTCATCGCCCTGATGACGGAGGCAGTATGACCTCTGAAACGTTGGTTAACATCGACCAAACTACACAGCGCAACAACCCAGAAGACAGAAATCTTCATACTCACCGCTGTGAAAACCTCAAATCTTACAAGATGTGAGGTGTCTAGCAGCTTATTAATAAAGACATTATGAACGGTAACACTATATAGTGTTGTAGTACACAAAATGAAGATACCAAATGATTGTAGCTATTCTCAAGTGACTGCAAACCGGGAAGTATTTAAACAGATAATATGGACTTCAAAAATTTATTTGACACATGAATCCAAGCAATGAAATGTTTCACTAAGGTGATTTTTTCAGTCGCTCCATAATGGAATCCCAGATTATTGTCCAGCGTGTGTTTTAAATAAGTTATTGTAACTTTGCAGTCCATTCTTAATTCTTTTTGGGTGTTTTGTTAAAAATCTCATGAACTTCAGTGCAGTACATAACAAAAATTATGACATAATATCTGATATTTCAGGTTTCACAGAAGTGAAGATGTTAATTATGATCTTCCATGTTGCAATGCTTTGTAGTCTTATAGATAGTTATCAGCATTCTGGAGAAGTATATTGCCTTCATCTTGAGCATCATACTGAAGATGAAAATGATAAGTTTCTCCAAAATATTAATAACTAACTACAGTACCAAATGGAATCACAATCAGAAGACCATAAGTGACAATAAAAATAATCTTTATTTATTTTCTGTAACTTGTAGTGCAAGTCCCATTTTGATACAATAATTTCAGCCACATAAATACTGCAAATGAAAAGACAGAAAGTCCACATAATATAGAAATATCTTAGGAAGAATAAGAAGAATTATTATGAACCATGTACCTTTTTTTCCTTAATGAGTGTTGTTGCCCTGTTAATTGTAGCACGAGCTTTATCAGAATTAAGCCGATCAATAAATATAAGTCCACACAACCAAGCGGCTAAACCGAAAGGCCATGCATAAAATAACTCCTTTTTGGCAACCACTGTACATTTATCCATCACTGGCCAAATATCAAACATTCCTGTAATGGGTAACAAAAAATATTTGTGTCATTTTCATGAATTTTAAAACATTTACGACACAGAATTTTTCCTTATTGGAAACAGACAAAGATCATGAGTTCTAGCATATTTAATAATTTAAATAAGTGTTTTAAACTGAGAAATAGATGTAAAATTTCTAATAAGTTATGGTGATTATTTTGACAGTCAAGTTCCACAGTACCCAGCCTATAACTTCTCATTGTTTCCTCCACTAATAAAAAATGTGAGATAAATTTGAAATATGGAATTTCAGAATTTCAATACACAATTTATTTCATACTTGTAATATAATTTACTCTCAAGGAAAGTATCTGAAAATTATAAACTGGCTCAAATAACTGATGTTAAAAATCTAACCTCTAAACTGTTTTCACTTTCTAGACTTGTACTTTTCAACATACACAACATATCAATGAATGTAAATGCAAATGATAACACTTGTATTATAGCAACACTACAAGTACACCTTCATTCATAACAAAAATTGCATGTACTGACCACATTATGAAACTTTTAGTTTGCAACAAAATATTGCTTTACCACTGACAACCAAAATTATTAAATAAACACAAAACAATAAAAGTCTTACCCAAAATGTCCAGTGAACTTTGATGATTGGCCACAATAATACATGCTTGCTCCTTCTCCAGGTGTTCTTGTCCTCGAAGTTCCCACTTTAATCCAAGAAGACCTGAAATGTGGCGGCAGAGTGCTGAGGCCAAACTGTTAAAGTGTAAACACAGTGTTAGCATTCACAGAAACATTATCTTTAACATCTTTACAGGCAGATGAGACCACATGAACGACCTATGGATAGATGAGATGATAATATTAAACTGGATATTAGGGATATAAGGATGGTAAGTATGATTGGATTCATCTGAATCAGGATAAGGACCAGTGACAGGCACATGTAAATGCATTAATGAAACTTCAGGTTACATGAAAGGTGGCAACTTTGACTAGCTGAGCACACTACTAGATTCTCAAGAAAGACTCTTCTCCATGGAGTTAGTGTATATTATTTTAAATAAATTAGGTGTGAACATGTTGGCTGGATGTAATTGGTTCAGGACTGTCTATGGACAAACTTTTGTGAACACAACAATTAACTTTTGAGTTACATAACAGTAGACAGACAGGTGATGCACCTCATACATCATAATAAGCAGGATGTTGAAAAACAGTAAGTATAGTACAATCATCATAACCCTGATTATGGAGGCAGCAACCGCCTCTGACACATTGGCAGACTTCTACCATACTACACAGAACTATAACCCAGAAGACCATCTTCATACTTGCTGCTGTAAAAACCTCAAATCTTACTTTGTTTTTACATTATTACCAATTTGTCAGCAATTATGAAATATAATCAGAAATATCTAAAGTTACACAACACTGAAAATACCAAACTAATATAGTAACTATATAACAATACACATAAATTCCACTCAGTTTGCCATATATATATAAAATTCCACACATATAAAAGATATGCACATACATATACATAAATACAATATCATACACAACATTCAGAATCAACTATAAGTCCGCAAAAACATTTTATTAACAATTTAAATTCATAAACAGTGCTAAAGGTGCAAGTCAAAAGGGAATACCTCATTGTTACATTTTACTATTAGTGGATAAATGTGTACTTTTGAAAAGCAGCTATTGTAATTCATACAAATCAGTCTCTTCTCAACAGTAAACTACTGTCATAACTATGTAATTCATATTTGTATAATATTTGTGCTATGACATGTTTTACATTCTTGGAATGGGCCAGTGAAGAATCTGCGGTATGTAAATAAATTATATTCTCCTAAAAACTAATCTATTAAAGTGCAAAACATGAAAAATACAATGTATTATGAATTGTAATTTTAGAGGGAAAACTTCCATTTGCAAATACGTACAGTAGATTCTTAACATCCTTTGGCCGGAACATCATAATCGGAATTACCACTACAGCCGTCGTCATTACAATCCCATAATATAAGAAAAACTTGATATAGTATCTGAAAGCTCTACTGGTTTCATACAGGAAAGGCAATATTAATATAAATACAACTAAAACCAACTCCAAAGAACTCGGTAACATTTTACAATTCAATACAGACGACTACTGAAGTGTCAGTTTGACAGATCGATAATTATATTCGATACTCTCTGTACAATACATCGATGTATCAGTCATATCGATATATGAATTGCGGCGGTCGATTCTGACGCAGAGAATTCCCGTTAGATGGTGCTTGTATATCTTTCAACCCCTAACCATATTACAACGCGAAACTAGGAAGAAGTAATTGATAGATGAAGGAGGGCGGGGCTCAAAGAATATAACTGGATCCTGGATACTGGGAACGACCCGTTCTTCAAGTGCCTGAGAACTGCGGGTTCCAACTTTTCGTTGGCTTGGCCTATAGACATTCGGTAGGACTCCTTGGACGAGGGATCGGCCCGTCGCAAGGCCTCTATCTGTGCACAGGACAGTACAACACAGAAAAACATCCATGGCTTGAGTGGGATTCGAACCCACGGTCCCCGCTACTAAGCGGCACAAGGCCCACGCCTCAGACCACGCGGCCACTGCGGACCCCGTATGGACAGACATTCTAGTCTGAGTTATAAACAAAAATTACCTCCTACAACAGAAAGTCTTCGAGTGGTTATTAATCCTGCTTCGTCTTCGGAAGACCTGTGTTTCAAATTTCGGTCAGGAAGCCGAATATTTTGATAGATCTTCAGTGGGTTTTGTAAGTCCTCCAAGGCAAATGGCAGGATGACATCTTATATTAGGCCACAATCGCTTCCATTCAGATCCGTCGCAATTTATCACTAATTAATCATCCTATTATACTAAAAATCTAAGGTAGTGGAAACGTCATTAAATAGGCCTACACCGAGAATAAGAAATACACTGGAAGTTACAGCTAAGCAATGGGGTTTGTTATCAGAGCTTTGCAACCCAATTCCTTAGAAGTCTTAGGTCAGGTGATCTCTGAGAGCCCAAACATGGCGATACTGGTTACAATTCTAAAATTTTGGTTAAAATTGTGCCAACTGTTCTTGGATTTTCGGGTATTTTAGTTATAAATGTGCCTATCATCCCTACGCCGAAACATGATTCGAAATCAAGCAAGAGGAGTCTGAGAACCCAGTACAACAAAATGCTGGAACATCAGGAAGACATACGACACGATACTGGAAAACTGACGCCCAGTATCTCGACGCCTATTATCGCGACGCCGACACAAGATCCCATATTGCTTAAATGAGCGCAGAGAAGGCACGGTACTGATAAACCGACGCCGACCGTTGCGAAGCCACAGGATAAAATAACAAATTACTGAATTGATACACAAGTTTATCTGCTGGGGGGAAAATGCCTTATAAACGCAATACTACATTGATTAAAGTCTAAACAGTACAAATCCAAAATATACATACGCAAAATATGGTGTATAAAGTTTCTCAAATACGACTGAGTAATAAATGAAAATACTAAGCTGAAAATAAACAGAGGGTAGTTGGCCTACAGATCGAATTTAAAATTACGATTCTAAATACTGTGACAGTGTTGTCTAACTACTGTGCTTGCTACCTAACGAGAGATTTCCATTGTCTAACATACATTGGTTCAGCCAGCACCAGCAGCACAGAAAATGATTTACATCGCGAAGTTGATATACATTTCAGATAAACTCAGGCCCAAACAATGGGTACGCAGGCGGTATATAATGCTGTCCTAAAAGAAGGGGGGGGGGGGGGGGGGGGATGGTACCTCGAAGACAGTTGTAAGAATAAGGGAATTTTGGAAGATCTGTAACAAATGGATTGACGAAAGGAACTTTTTATGGGGCACGTGACAGCCTAACGCTTCAAGTTCACGAGGTAGACTGCAACTCCTCGTCTGTATTTAGCGGATTTCAAGGCGTGTGACGTCACAGTGCCGTAATACGATTCAGCTGAGACGGTGACCTAGGCCCGGGTTTTCATTCGTTCATTAATGTCGATTCGCGAAAAACCGGATTATAAATGAAGACATGTTATTCAAACTTCCTGGAAATTTATTAAAAACGCTGAAAACTTAATATCACGAATGAGTTCACTTATTAGACCACTGAATAATTGTCTCTTTTATTAACTGTTATCGTAAATAAATATCCAATGCCATAGACGAGTGGTGACCGGCTGTACAAAGAAGTTGGTGCGGAAAGCGGAGATTGTGTTGGTCTTCAAGGGCACGCTGAAATTAAAAAGTGGACCAACATAAATAAAAATGAAATTAATAAATGTTTAGTTGTGTAAATGGTGATGACAACGCCTTGGTCGACTGACATAGGTTTTATTTCCGCCTATTTGTGGTGACTCTTAATTCACAAAATGAAACGTTTCGCAAATTAAATTTTGTGTTTTTATATCACATGTTCACATAAAATGACTGAAGAAAACGCCAATATTCCTATCCTCGCAGCCAGGTTTTGCTAGAATTTAACCATCGTCCCCTGAAATAGAATGAAAAGAGCTACGAACTGAGTTAATTTGTTCTGTTGCGGTTTATGCAGCCCGTAGGCCGTTGTATTATTACAGTGGGTTTAAACTGTATTCAGGTTTGTGTTTTAGCACCGCTGAATAACCCAAAATTAAACCACACCTTTACGAAAATAGTGTTTTATTAAACTGTAAGTGCGGCTGGTAAAACAATGTCGGATTGAGAGCGACAATTAGAGCTAGTTCTCATTGCCGAGACGTGGCGCTACCCTTCACCATTCGCTGATGCTTTCAAAAGTTTAAAAAAAATGGAAATCCGCTGAGCGGAATGTGATATAGTTCATAAAACAGAATTGGAAAATACTTGGCTCGGAATTTTATGTCCCTGTGAATACAAAAGGAAAATCAGTGGAATCAAAGTCACTGATGCGCATGCTCGTTACGTAACGATAAAACATAATTAAGCACTTATGAAACTGCTCTTGAAACTTATTAATCTGGATGATATTTTGTTATTTGATGGATGCAAGTGGATGGGTCATACATGGGTTTTCAGTGAAAATATTTGTATGTGTCTCTTTTATTTACTGCAATATGTAGGAATCAGGAACGAAATAAAACTAATTCACAGGGAGCATTTATATTTTTCGTTTTAAAATATTCCTATATGTCTACTGCTTTTGAAGACTGGTGCATTAGAAACTGAATTATTCGCTTTGTGATGTTATAAATCTATACAATTCATAGTGCTACAGTGAGCAGTACATTGCTTCACGTAAATAATATGAGACCTAGTTTTCTGAGGTAGAGCTATAATTTTTAATTTCTGATTGATAAGAACACTTATTCGAAGACTAATGTAAGCGTCACAACCTTAATACAATCTCGGAGTTTTGCACCGTAGCGCTACGTCTGGTGTCAGGCTGATTACTCGCCCAAGACGTCTTACCGAATGTATAAACGGGTGTATAATTTTATTAGTATATCTGAACTGGAACAGGTTAGAAAGCCATACCAAAGCTTAAGAAGAAACGTGATGAATAAAGGATGAATTATTGATTCTCTTAGGATCTCCGACAATGGCTGAATTTTGGTCTGCGTCAAAATAACAAAATATTACCGACTTGCGTCTCCTCCCGAAAAGTGGTGTGTATTAAATTAATATAAAATAATGAGCTATTTCAAATATAAGGAAAGGAAAACATTAATAAATCCAGTCAACATCACGGTATGTGCATTAATATATTTCCTGCCCTACACAAACACCATTTCAATCCCTTAAAATTCAACAAATTCCTCTCAGTATCGCTATTCTTTGTTAAGCCAGAGGCTAACAAGGTTTTCTTATCGGTTATCAGTAGATACAAGCCATAAATTGCCTTGCCCGACGTTCTAAAGGTTGATCCCAGCAATTCCTTGTGGGCAGGCTTTGATTGTAACGCCAGCAAGTGGGAATCTCCAGGCCAGAGCCAGCAACTGATCCCACAAAGCTTCATTGTCCCTCGGGAAAACCACAGAGGTTAGTTCCACTGCTTCGGTGCTATGTATGTAACAACAGCAGTTCTCAAACATGTTCGACACAAAAGATTTTCAAATCTCATGTCTTGTCTTCTGAAGCTGATGGATATAATTTTCTTTTTAAAATTAGGAGCAAGGCAACGAAAGCAGTCTGAAATGGTGGAGCTAAATTGTTTAAAACGAACCTACAAAAAGTCTGCTGAATAGGAAATGGAATGAAGAATATTCCTTTGGAAGGTCTGGCATAGAAGAAGAGGCCTACAAACGAAGAAGAAGAAAGTACATTAGGAGCCTTTAATCGCTCTTCCAAAGTCTATTAATCTTTTCCATTACACAAACCCTTAACCGACGGTCGTTGTGTTATGGATGTCCCGGGTCTACGTTTTGGCCCGAGACAAACGGTTATACTAAAGTTTTTTCATAATTTAACCGTATATGCTTACTGCAAGAATACGGACTGTGTTATTCGGGTTCATTTCGTCTTAAATTTGGAGGATGAATATGGAACATATTGTAACAAGTGTCCTTGTAAAGTAGGTTTTCCGTCATGTTATTCTTTTGATATTTATACTACAGAGCAGTGGTATTCAACCTTTTATGTTCTCCTACCCCCAGGTAAAATTTCTCTTCAACTTTGTATCCCCAAAGTTGTTGGTGTATAATTCAAGTTATACATAGTATATAATCTACATTTAAAATAAATTAAATAAATTACATTACTGGTTATTCAGTGTTTATCATAAAATAATATATTTTTTTTAAATTTCACGTACTCCCTAAGATGTCTTCGCGTACCACCGGGGGTACGCCTACCACTGCTATAGAGTGCAGAAATTTTCTTTCCTCATATCCATGCACATGTAAAGAACTGCAGTTCTTCTTATAATTTGGTTTTTATGGAGTTTTCATTTCATTACAATTTCCACAGAATGCTGGTATTTGAAAATACAGTACAGCAAACTTAATTGTCTTAAAATGTCTCGTCACGTCGATATGTCACAATGATTCCTCAGTAAAGCTAAAAAAATATAAAAATGTCAATGAATACCGAAAACACAACGAAACGTTTACGAAATTTAATTTAATAGTAATTAATTAATTATGAATGAACGTCGAATGTTCTTGTTATTATAAAGTTTAAAACCTATTCTTGCTCTGAAGTAATTTATTATTTGAAATAGAAAGTTTACAGGAGTGTACGTGAGGGAAAAATTAAGCGGACAATTTAGAATACTGCACAGTGATGAAGGTAATGTACATTTCGCCTAGCTCTGTTTAGACAGCGAAGTTAAGGAAGTTACAGTGAGCTGGAGATGTAAGTTCCATGATGGGTAAGATGGTAAATTTATACCAAAGTTTGGTGGGACAGAGACCCTACCTTTCGGAAAACAGGCATATGGAAGGCTGAAGATGAAGCAATAGAACCATCTTCGTGAATCAGGTTATGAAGCTACGATAGAACCACACATATTGGGCGCGTTGGACTTTCACGGAGTTGAATATACAATAACCTAGTTAATCTTTTAGTATTTGTGTTTTTAACGGAACTGTTGTGCCAGGGCTGTCTAGAAAATCGACGTTTATCACTTATTTATAAATGTTTCGCCCGGTTGTATTTTATTTTGTTAACTGAATGTATAATCATTCGATTTTTGTCTGATAACAAAACCAAGCCATGACACGTAGATTAACTCAAAATGTACAGTCATCTGCTTTACAGAAAAATTTTATTTCTGCCTTCTACATCTTTATTTTATTGGCTGTATTCGCCACCCACCCGACTGTTTGTATTATAGCTAGAGATTAAAGATTACCTACGTGGAGGACATGTGTTGCTCGCACCCTACAATTTGATTCCACTCCAGTTACAAAGCTTTCTATACTGGACGCAAAATATCTGCGATCCTGGTCTACGTCACATTAAGAATGGAAGGGAAGATGTAGAGGTTAAGGGAAGGTGCAAGACGCCTCATGAGGTCAACAAAACTTGGATATATCTTGCGATAAGTATTTCAGTTCGTGGAATGAAAATTGAACTCTTCCAGAAAATTACATGTTGTGTGGGTAAGCAATCGATCTATAGAGAAATTGGTGGTAGGAAGACAGGGGAATTCTGAAAGTCTCGATTAAAGCTTATATAGTCTCAGTGTTATCTACAGCAAATCCCAGTGGACACAGTGCAATTCGATGTAGGCTCACAGACGTTAGAGGCCAGTGCGTGCTCGTGAGGCCACTGCTTGTTACTTTCACCATTTGTGTATGCCTGATATTCAAACGGGACGTATCCTTACGAATAGACCTACAGTGGAAAACACTTTGTGTATTACTTACACGAACGGAAAGTGGAAAGGTTATAACTGTCTTAGGACGCGGAAAAGTTTGACATATCAGCCGAAACAACACGTCGTTGGAATAACGAATTTGTAAACATATTTATTCCAGAGATTCAGACATAGTAACAGTTCCTTTTTATACCAGTGAATAATTTACGGAATTATCAGAGTCACGTGGTGCTTCGATGACAGGTGTGTCCAGAACGCAAGGCCGTTGTTGTTCAATGTCGACAGTCTTTGTTCCCTGTGGGCTATCAGTTCAAATTCAAGAGATAGTGTATATGTGTGTTTAAAGTAACTTATCTTAATCATTATAATATTTTATTGACTAGTACAGACTAGCAATACGTGGGGCTATGATTTGTAGCTTTTCTGACGTGACCCAGATGGGTAAGAGGTGAGAGGAATTAACAGTTTCTTTGGGGGTTGCGCCTTTATTTAATTATGTTTAGAATTAAATATATTTTGGGTCAATAGAAGTTAATATTAGAATGTACATCTTATTTCTACATTCGACCCTGACGATAGAGCCAATATGTTTCACCGAAATATTGTTTGTTGCTTACAAAATCTCACAGGACTACAACCAAGGTTTAATCCTAGCAAACAATTTAAATATGAAAAGTCAGCGCTCATCAGTCTGTAGTAATGAGAAAAATATTTTGATTTGGAAAAGTTAATACATTTTCAATTTCATGTGAGAACCTGAAGTTGGAAACGCAGCCAATAACCTAGGCCTTGCGCTGTACTAAAAGGAAAATAATGTTAAAATTTTTCTGTCTTACCTTTTTTTTCTTATTTTTATTCGAAGAAGAGGGTTTTGAAATAAAACAAGCTGTAGATACATGTTACATGATAACTGAGAATTTCGGCTATATCCGCAGAAATAAAAAAAACACGCAAATATAAAATATAAGCAACGTTATTTTCAGACAGTTACTTCTTAAATTTTTAAAGCTTTGTGGCATATAGAAAGTATTTCATGTATCACTTAATACATAATATAACAACTACTTTTTAAAAGAGAAAGGAAACACGTTTCACTGTCGCAAACTTCAGGTTTTTAGCAACAAATGGCTTATGTTTATTTGCCATTGCTGTAAGTATTCCTTTATTTTTAAACGTTCTATCGTTTACAAAAGATTTTCTATTTTTTTTTAAATTTTGGTTTAAAGTAGATAGACCCGATTATTCCGACCCCGTATAATTGCAAGTCTACTGTAAAGAATCAAAAGAAGAAGTTAGTGTAGCAATTGTTCATATACCATTCACTGACTTACTCTATGGTGCAGGAAATTCTTCGAAAAGTCGGTTGTTTGCTCGGCGCGTTAAATAATAGCCCACTTCTTTATGGAACCAGTAGGTTCAAGCACACACCATTGACACAAATAATTACTCAATTCAGGCACTGTTACTATGGAATTAATTGCACAATGAAGGACTTCATAATCTGTACTGTACACAAAACAGTGAAAACAGCGCGGTCGGGGATGGGCACAAAATATTTTATTCACAGGAGACATGAGAATGATATACAAAGTTTTGGTCGAAAGACCTAAAGGGAAGAGGCCGCTTGAAAGAGCTAATCTTAGATGGGAGGATAACTGAATTTGATATGGGAAAAATATGATGTGAGGTTGTGAGCTAGATTCAGCTGGCTCAGAATAGGGTCCAGTGACGAGTATTTGTGTACACAGTAACAATCTTTCGGGTTTCAAAGAGACAAAGAAAGTCTTTGACTACCTGAGCGACTATTTGTTTCTCAAGAAGGTCTTTGTTCTATGCAGTTCGTTATTATACACGGCTGGTTTTAATGATGAACAATCATCATTGCGGTCATGCGAAATCCGTATTTGGGTTTGTGATTGATGACGGATAATAATTGAAGCTCCAGACATTTTATATGGAGATATATAATAAAATACCTACAAATATTGTATTAAACGTCTTTTATGCGTCAAGGACTACGAACATGGATTCAATCGAAATATTTAGGTTATGTGTGATAAATTTCACGTGGTAGAGCTGTGTACACATTAAAACTATGCACAAAAATAAATAGCTAATTTGTATAATTATAAATTTTTATTCCTGAAAGTGTTACCACAAACAGTAAATGAGTCATTTTAAGGCAAGTACGAGTCATACGTTCTGCCCACAATATCTTGTTTTATTTATTCACCGAACGCAAGAAACAAAGAGGCAATATTGATTCTGTGAGATGTAAGTCATGTAATTGTATTTTTGTATCTTCAACGCGATAAAGATATCACTGTTCATCTGTAGTTTTCTTTTCTACAAGTCTGACAGCGTTCAGTTATGCTTTGACTCCAACAGGCCATCAGCTCCTTTCTCAAGAATGTCGAGGAGACAGAAAAGAAGATAAAAACTTGAATGCGAAACCCACAGCTTTAAAAGCAATACAATAGTTTCATATATGGAGGAGGGGAGTGAAGTGTTGTATAAAAATGATATATTCTTTCTGATATTGTGTCTTGTTGGAACGGAAAGCAACTGGAAGTGGAACAGGATGCATGCAGAATAACAGCTTGTTTCCCATTTAAACACGTATTTTATGTGGGATGTTGAATTTTCAGATCGTGGCAAGTGTTTGACTTCTCACCTTTTTGTAAGAAGAACAGACTACAGGCTTTATGGACTGTTTCTTTCAGTGACTTTTACTGATGCATTACATTTTACTTAAAGTTTTTCCTGCAGTGAATATTTTCCCCTACAAGATAATAGTGAAAGCAATTCATAGTTATTTTGTCTAAAATATTAAATATAAGTTGTAGACCTATTAAAGTGCATGTTTTTCTTATATTCTTCTTTGGTAATTAACACGACCATAAATATAAGTTGTAGACCTATTAAAGTACACGTTTTACTGATATTCTTCTTTGGCAATTAATACGATCTCTCAATATAAAGCGGGAGCCCAAATAAAGGATGTATGAGAAGAAAATGCCGAGAAAGAACTAAGAGAGATGAAATAACAACAGACCGAGGAATATTACACAGTGAGGAGCTTCACAACTTTACTACTCACATGGGCCTAGTAGTATTGGAAAGAGTAGGTCAGAATGAGGATGAGCTAGGCGGACATGCAACAAGTATGTGTGGAAGAGAAATGCTTGTAAAATTTTGGTCAGAAAGTCTTAAGAAAAGAAGTCACTTGGGACACTAAAGTGTAAATGAGAGATTAATATTAAAATTATGTTGTAGAAATATGGTGTGAAGGTATAAACTGGATTTAAGTTACTCTGAATTAAGAGAGGAGATTATTGTGGTATACCTAAAACACTACCCCGTCATTTGCCTCGAGAAGCTGGTAATACATTCCTTTGACATCAAGTGTGACATATTGCTTTCACCGTCACACTGACAAGACATAGTCTCCACATTCTGAACGTGGACGCAGTCTACACCGTCAGAATGTGATGATGTCATAGGTTTTTATTTTCTGACTGTTATTAGGTAACAATGGTTACGGTAAATCATTCAACCACCTAGGGCTGGTTTAAAGAAATCGGGTTAGTAATCAGGAGGCCAAGTTTTCAGACCTCCGACCGCAGAACTGTTATCTTGACTGATACAGTATTTACAAGATTTACCTTCATACAGCACTGATTTTGTAAGCAACAGAAAAAGAAATTTAAAACGTAATTAAATAATTTAAGAATAATTTCAGTGTTTGCTTCTTACAGTGCAGTGACTCTTAAAGTTTGTTAAGTGCACGTAAGTTATTTTTTACATTATATATGAAGTTCATTAAGATTGAATGTAGATTTATTTAAAAGTTTAGAAAATTTTGAACAAAATATATTTATTTTGCTTTGATCATGTAATCAATGTCCGTATTTCGTAAAGTTCAGTAACAACAGACGCTTACAATCTGCGTTCATTGCATCCACACTAGATTAAACACGACTATAAATCTATAAAATATAATTTATCTATCAAGAACAATCGGTATATAAGAATATTGTCATGCGGAGAAGTGTCGAAGAGGCTCCATACTTACGAGACATCCAAGAGGACGCGGATCGATCATGCTTGGCAACTTGCCGAAAGCTCAGATACTAAAGGCGACATATTACAGGGTGAAGGGGTGTACCTATACGGTTGATGTTCTGTAGTAATATATATGTTCGGGACAGCCTCTGGGACTAGTAACTTCTGATGAGGGTCCACATACAGTGTTATCTTGGACAGCAATAACTCAAGTTAATTGAGGACACATGTATAATTAAGAGCAAAATATGAGTGGGCTGAAATAAAGTGGGGTATATTTTGGTTTAAGTGACCCACAAGTGTAACG